CGTAGTAACGTGCATCACTACCCTGCCCCCCGTCTTCAATGATTAATTAATAATTGACAATAAATTAAAATTGAAATTAGTTCGCGGTGCTGACTGCACCTAACAATGTGATAGGGGGGGAAATTGCGTGTGAAGGAAGGATGCATGGCAAACATTTTTTTTTATCTCTAGCCATGCAAAACCTGTTGTGGGTGAGAGTGTACTGCACCATTTTAAATGACTTCTACAATGTACAACGTATAAATTTTGAATTTTTACTTCTCAGTCCTACAGCTTCAACAAAAAAATTGATGAAAAAATATTTCTATTTATTATAACAATTTACATCTAATAACTTTAGTTTATGTATGTTTTTAAAAGGAATTACTAAGTTAATATTTTAGTGTTTTAGTATAAGACTCACAAAACAGCAATTATTTCAGCAAATTTTGAAACATTTAAAAAAATAAATATCAATGTTACGTAACAAGAAACTTAATAGCCCCCTACGACTATGCAACAAAGTATAATGCTGCCTTTCCCTCTCCCCACTATCTTTAGAGTTACGTAATTTATGGATGACCCCACCCAACTATTGTTAATATCAAAGAAAATCAGTTTTGTTTCATCATCTCTCTGCCTTAAAATGTTTTCCCTTACATCCTGCCAATTTTTGAATGACTAAATATGACACTGATTAAACTAATAGTTAATAATTTATTTTTATGCATTTTTCATTTAGTGCTATGTATTATTTGGGTGTATATTATTATGCACATGTCCATAGAGACTACATGAACGCCTGGAAGATTTGGATAGAGTGGAAAAATTGCTGAGTAGACTTAGAGCAGATAATCTGGAATTAGATAAAGCTCGTAATATTTCTGAAGAGGCTGTTCGCAATGCTGACTTGCACATCGGATCTTTGAACAGTGTGATTTCAGCTCTACATAAGGTACTGGTAATATTTATATAGTCAAGATTCTGGTAAAAAAGGAAATTAAAATTAATTTCATGTTTGCACATTTAATTATAGGTTTTATGCTGTTTTCAGATCCCATATTTGTGTTTTTCAGTTTTCTTTTAAGAAATGAGGGTTTTTTCATGAACCTGATATATCCAATTTTCACAACAAACTCTGAGAAAGTACTCCTTGAGTTATCTACCCACATTTATTAAACATGAGATTTTATTGCTTAAGAAGAGAACTGTAAAAGAACTTCAGGCTTCTTTTTGAAAAGGAGAAAAATAATATTGTTCTTATTAATTACTTATTATTAAAACTATTGTACTATCGTAGCCACTTTTCATTCTAAAATTAAATTGGTCGAGCTTTGTATCTTCCATTGCAAGAGGTAATGCTATTGATTGGGTAGAAGTACAAATTTTATGAACAATATGAAATAATTATGTACAAAATTATTTCATGTTCCTCTTTTCAAATAAATATTGCTTTTTCATTTGAAAAGTAATGTTGAAGGAAAGTGGATCCTGAAGGAATGTAAGTATTGTATTAGCCATTATAGGTTAATTAGTAGGGGCTCATCTGTTGTATTTATTAGTTTTTTTTATTGCATTTTTTATTTTTAAGATACTGGACTATGTTCTTTTTTAAATGAGTCTCTATACTTTTTTTACACCAATAGATAGGTCTTGAGAAGACAAATTCATCAATACCAAATATGTTAGTATTTACTGAATAATTTATGAAACACAAGAGTATGAAATGCAGGTTCAGGTAAGTTTGTGGTGTCATCTGACAGATTAGATATTTCTATGCTGAGGTGCAGAGCAGTGCAGTGAGCTTTGCAACCAAAGTAGTCGAATTTTCTGTTCAAGAAACGATCCGACGAATCCTTATGTGTTACAATTATTGACAGTACTGTGTTCTCATTTTGTCCAAAAGAAGAGATTGAATTGCCAAGAAAATCACTGGTAGGTTCTCATTAGCAGCATCAGGTATGGATTAAGACATCTTCATTTTTTTAAAGGGACAACATACTGCTATCGTGTGGTAGCGTGAGTCTTGCAAAATATACTCCACAGCAAACATTACATCGCTGCTTTTTTAAAATCGTTGTTCATCAATTTTCCCAGCAAGGCCATTGTCTTTGCTTCGAATGGTTTTGGTAGGTTTCTGAAAGACAGCAAAAATTCTGAAATACTTTTTCTGCTTTACTGTGGAAATAGTACTCTTCCCAAGGGTGTATTCAGTCAAGGTGCAACTTAATTGTTAATTAAGATATTGACAATAAATGTTTGTTTTATTATCTCTCTCCAATTTTCTCAAAAATGTGCTCGTGATTTTGCCTTTAACCACTCGGAAAACAAAATAACTTTTACTGAAATAATTTTGTCAACAACTCAAATTGGTTGAAAGTTACTAAAATAAATTTTGTGATACTACTGTTTTCAAATGTTCATTATAGTATTATACTTGAACAGAATCAGGTTATCACCAGTGTATATTATTGCCTATATAACTACATATAAATAAAGTAAATGTTTTTACATCACCTGCAGAAATGACATGCTTTTAGGGTACAAATATCAGCTTTGCACTCTCTTCATCACCATCACCATCTCTGTAATGGGGCAAAACTAGCTTTGGTGGTTTCTAGACTGTCTTAATTATACAGAGATTGAATGTAATAATATGAACACCAGACATGTTCAAAGTATTTATTTACTAATACGGTATTGGCCCAGCATTCAGTTTTAGAACAGCTGCAGTTCATCGTAGAATAGATTTGTAGTGTGTGTGAATAGTTTCCAACAGAATATTCTCCAATTCTTGTACCAAAACATCTGCCAATTACTTCAATGATGTTGGAGCTGGAAATCTGACTCTCACTCTGCTCTAAAATGCCCCAAAAGGTTCAATTATTTTAATGTCTGACCATTGTGCTGGCCAGGGAAAATGTTTGATGAAATTCTGATACTTTCCAAACTGCGTCTGAACATTTCTTGCTGTGCATTAACATGGTATGGCAGTGTTTGGTAACAATAAGCAAACCATTGAAAGCACTTCATGGTTGAGGATGTAAGACATTCATTCGCTATAATCTGGCCAGTGAAGGTTAATAATAGGACCAACTTAATACCATAATATAGCCACCCTCATAATAATGGAACCTCCCCCATGCATGACTGTACGAAACAGGCAGACCGGATCATGGGCTTGTTTTGGGGTTCTCCGTGCATAAACCTAGCAGTTCGTAGGAAACGTAAACGATAATTCATCGGCCCATATCACATTCTTCCAGTCACGTATCCAGGTTTGTGATTGTGGCACCACTTCTTTCACAGCTTTGCATTGGCTTCCAAAGTGAAGGGTTTCGGAATTGTAGCCCTTCCATGAATCTTAGCTGTGTGAAGCTCCTGCCGTAATATTTATGTAGAAACAGTATTACTCAAGTGTACATTTTGAGTTCTACAGTCACTTTCGCCCTGGTAGTTCTACATTGTCTGGCCACAATCCTTTTTAATGTTCATCTGTCTCCGTCAGTTAACTTTGGCTCTTGGTCATTATTCTTCTTCGCTGATTATGTTTTATGTTTTACACTGCTGTCATTACCATGACTGTCCTCGTGGAACAATATACAGTTCACCTGTTTGCGTCACAGATGCTCCCGCTAATTGTGCACCGATTTGCCCTCTTTCTGGGTCTGAATGATCTCGCACATGTCAACATTCACATTTTTTTACCATCGCAGATCGAATACACTGCAATATATTCAGAACTTGGCCTGTCAACTGTGGAAGGCAGCGTGCATGTGCATTGCAGATTTTACATGACTAGTGATTCACAATTTAGCCGCACTGTGTACATTCAAACCTCCTATAACACTGCATTTTAAAACTCATTAGTGTTTATAATTATTGATCTAATACCAACATGTGTAGTATTTCTGAATTTATCTTATTTAAAAGACCATCCATTAACACACTCCCTCTCTCTCTCTCTCTCTCTCTCT